TCCTCAATGGGAACCTAAAAGCACGGCAAAGTCCATTTTTCAAGCGTGCTTTACTTAAAGCTGTGGAGGGAAAGAAAGCAGGAGACGGCTGCCCTGGCAGTCTGTGGGGCACTGTGCAGCTGGGGGATTTTGCAGCGAGTCTCGGCGCCACTCTGGGGACGCTGTGTTGGTTGGGACCAGCTCTGAGACCAGCTCTGGCTGGATAGCTGGAATGCACTTTGCTAGGGTAATTTTCAGCCCTTCCCGCTCCTAAAAGCCAGCTGACTCCAGGAAATCTCACAGCAAAGTACTAAGAGGGTCCTCTCTCTGGGTCAAGCTGCCAAGGAGGGTGCAGAAAGGGGGAGGGATCTGCCTCGCTACGCTGTAGGAGAAGGGATGTTTACTTTGGGTTGGTTTTTGTCGTGCATTCTGAGAGGGTATGGTAGGATATCATGAACGACATCACGAACTACCAAAATGCATTTGAAAAAGGCACATATACAATAAAGCATATATCTAATTATACAATACCATATATATAAATATACTTTCTCAACATCTCCAGCTGCCCTAGACTGCAAGCCATTACTATCATCCATTTTTGTTTTTAAAGGATACTGAGCTAAGCTAAGATGCAAATTTCTAGCATCAAAGCCAATTTCATGACACTTTTCCTAAAATCCCACAGAGTTTAGGTGACTCGGGTATCAGTGCAGCCTCCCTTCTCCTTCCTCATTACATTATAACGCACAGTGAGAGTTCAGCAATGTTATCTAGCGAAGGAACTATATTATTGTGGCTCCCATCCCTGGCTGAAATAAGCACCTTTCCCTAAATTATCTCCAAAGTTTCTTTCTGGAGGAAGGAGTGTTTGTTGTCTGGCTTCTTTCAATGGGGCTTTTTTTCAAATATGAAAAGCCATCTCAGGATCTAGACAACAGTAATATTGTCCTATTAAAGGCCAGTTTTGAAGGGTTTGGTTTAATCCCTGGCCTCCTCTTCTGCCTGACAGCCCCAATTTAGGAATACCCTTGCAAACAGAAAGAAATTTGGAAACTCTTAAAACTGAGAATTTCTTCACCTTTTACTAAATATACTTTAGTTCCACATGGCTATTTTGTGAGCTGTGTTCTCACACTGTAGAAACTACTACCATTAAACAAATCAGGCCAATTAACAAATTTAGATTCTTTCTCTCTAATACAGACCAATAGAGGTTAATGCCTAGACACCTTTCACATCACATCATAGATGGAAGCACTTTTTAAGGAGAATAAAATTGTTTTAATCCCATAAGTTACTGAGTAAAGAGCTGGCTTTACTGAAAAATGCTATATATTTTGATGTGCACTCCTAACTGATTGCAAAGAGAGGTGGCTGTAAAATTCACTGGCCATAACAGCAGATATATAGATAATGCCCTTTGCTCCAAGAATATGGATCATACCAAGAGCAGAATAAGCAGTCACACTTCTATTTCATTTAATAGGCTTGTAATACTCTAAATTGAGTCAGAATTTTGCCATTTTTGATGTAAAAAGAAGTGAAAGGGTTTACTGGCAGGGATGTGTGCAGAAATGGCTTTTTTTTTTTTAATGAAAATGGGGAATGCTCACAGGAAGCCAATTCTAAATTTGCAAATGCGTGTTTTTAACTGGAAACCCAATTCCAAGAATTTTAAGAGAGTCTAATAAAAATCAGCCAGGTTCGATTTCCAACACCAAATACTTAGAACAAATGGATCCACAGGCCAAGGATTGTCTACTGAAATTCCTAGTACACTGTGAATGACTAATGAACTCGACAAAACTCAAGAGCTTTTCTTAGAAATCTGCAGAGAGCAAGCAAGGGAAAAAAAGTCTCTGAGGTCTCATTTTGCACATTTCTGTGTAGGGGCAAACTGATTTATATGAAACCATCCAATAATTTTCAGTAGGAAGTGACTGCTAAAATAAATGCTAGTCCAAAACTTTGTTCAAAATTTGAACTAGAATTTAATCTTTCTCCTTTCCCTAGCTCTAGGATGAAAAACTTCAGTGAGTGTTCAGAAAAGGACATTGATTATAAAAATTAATGCAACCCTTCAGCTTCTTGGTCTACAGAAGATGCATTTCTTGGAAGATAACTAAACCAGCATCTCCCCTCTGCCTCCCCAGTTCTCTCTTTCTGTGATACCAGAACATGGCAGTGCTCACATACAGATCTCGCACACTACCATTGGAAGAAGTTGGGCTTGACTGAAGCCAGCTACAAAACCACCAAGCCCCCCTGTCTGATCTTTTAAACATCTACAGAATATACACTACAGGAGGTATCAATGAATCGTCAATGAATGAAAGTGCACACTAACAAACTGCAGATATAATTGCAGCCAGCTTATTTGTGGATACACAAGACATTCTCTGGCTTTCCCGTATTCCAGTGCTTTCCCAAACACAGCCAGAATTTTTTAACACTTTTTCCCCAGTGCTAACTATTCCAAGAAACCATAGGTCACGTTCTTTCCGCTGACCACAGAGGGGAGACTGGAGTGTTGTCCCCCAGAGACTGAAAGGGATTGCCAGCACCCCTTTTCTCTGGCTCAGGCACGTGTCTTCTGGAGGCCCATGCAAGCCTAGTGACCTTCAGGCCCAGGACCTTTCCCTTTGCACATTGTTCTTAAAAGACCTTTGCTGCCTCTGCAGAAATCACAACCACTTTTTTTGGGTGGTGTCATGCTGTAAAAGTAACCCCCTTTTTCTGAATTTCCAAGCACATCCTGCTGCAGAACATGGCTGGCCACCTCCTAGGTCAACCTTCGTAGCTGCAGAGAATCAGCCATATGGAACAGAAGTGTTGCCCTCCAGCATGCCCTTGTTTTGTTCCTGCACAAACTCCTTTGATTACACCAACCACAAGAAAATGAGAATGGTCTGGAGGACAGCAGAGGTTCATTTCCCTGAGTTCCCTCTACATTAGGATGAAGAAAGAAGGAGGGGGAGGAACCCAACGACATTAAGAACAATGTTGGGAATAGGTCTTTAAATCTGTCTCTCTGAAGCCCATATATTCCCAGCCTTGATAGCTCTCACATTACACAAGATGACATTTCTCTCCATATTGTATTATAATTAATAGGCTACTGCAAGACTTTACCAGCTCCTACTTAATAGCATTTCAGTGCTGGGAAGCAGTCATCAGGTAATCTGGCCATGATCTACTGTATCCTTTCTAAACACAGGTTCTAGCTGCCAAGAATGTCACCATAAAAAGATTTCAATCAATACCACTCAGCTCCTACTTTCAAATGCTCCAGGTCTAGGAAGAGGAGAAAAAAAACCCAGTACCATCAAAACGAACAGCAAACTGGCATATGCACTGAGTACGCAGATTGAAGTGCGCAGATGGGAATTCATTATGGCCTGATCTTGCTCTCTCTTTTATACTTTAGTAACTTTATACTTTGGAAAAGGTCTCACCAAGCGCATGAAGACCGCGTGCATGGAGGGGGTTAAACTCATGCAGATCTTCCCATTCTCAAGCTGTGCTCCTGTTGCCAAACAACAACATTTCAATTGTGATTGGTACAAACAGTTGGGATTCAATGGCAATCTGTCATGTAGGTTTAAGCCCAGTTTTTACTGATGCAACCTGCAACTTGCTGGGTGGTTGCTGGCTTTGGTATTTATTGGGAGAGAAAGAAAGGAAACAAAACAGATTGGTGGGTTTTTTTTTTTCTCTTGTCCAGTCTGTAGTTCAAGGACGTGCTCTAGAGTTTGTTTCTCCATTTGTATTCCCTAGAGTGAAATTAATAAATTAGGAATAAAGGTGAAATCTGCAAATACAAATCAAAGCACAGCACCTGCATCTCCATGTATCACTTTCTGAAGAAGTAGGGAAGGTCATACGTGATCTGTTTGTTTGTGATCTGATCATTCTGTGCTCTCCAAGAGCAAAGGCTATCCAGCAAAATCTGCAAACACTTCCACCCCTAAATTAAAGCAGAATTGATGACTTAAAACCAAAAGAAGTCACTGGTTCAGCAAATTAGCAAATAAGATGTCAACAAGAGAAAAAATGGTCAAGGCTCGGATCCTGATGTAGCTGAAGTAGTTGGAGTAGTTCCATTAAATTCAATGGAGCTAAGAGGATTAATGCTGGCTGAGGACCTGGCTCCTAGCGTTTTCCCAGCTGCAAGTCTTAGTTTAGGCTGTTGCCAAGAGGTTAACACTGTGATAACAGAATGAGAAAGTATTTATATAGGTATATATAGATATATAATTATATTTAAAGAACACTTTGCTACTAGTACTTTTGTCATTTTAAAATCCGTAATTTTAAAACAAAATTATTTCAGAAGAGCAGCAGAACCTCTTGAGTAAACTACAGACTCTCTCACCCACTCCTAGGCCACTTGCTGTCCTAGAAGCAAGTTTAAATGTTATTTCTAAATGCTATTTCTTAAAACATAGGGTGCAACTAAATAAGTAAGGCTCCCAAGGGTCTCTAAGAAGCCAGTGAGTCAACACATAGGCATGGAGTAACAGCAAATCAACAATTCTAAAAAAGGTGCTTCATAAGTTAAGGAAAATAAAAATACAAAGCCTCAGACTTACCACAGAAGGCCCTCAGACTTATGAAACTAAACTGCTGTAATGTGGTACAGTGTTAAGACATACTTTTTTCTTTTTTACATTCTAGAGGGGCAATACACACTGAACCCAGAAAAACAGCTCACCCTAGAAAGTAATTTTGAAAGGAATATCGACTTTGATTCGTGCTCCTAAAACCCTAACAGTTCTGCTTTAAAAATAATTGTTCATTCTGCAGAATAAAGTTCCCCCCTTCTCCTCCAGCCACCAAAACCCCACACCATATCTACACATTTGAAAAACGCTCTCCTCCGAAATGTTTCTACCTATTTGTCTGAAACTGTAAATGAGTGGCATCTTGCCGGGACTTCAAAGCACCTACCAGGGTTGAGCAATATCCCAAAACAGAACACGATGTACAGCTGATTGAGACAGAAACGGACTGCCTTTCAATTCCCACAGAAAGCGAGGAGGGTCACTCACCAAAAAGTGACGGCAACAACAAACCCCTCTTTTATCCCTTCCCTCTTTCCATTCTTAAGCTGGGCAGAGCAAATGAGGTTGGGTCCACAAAAAATAAGGTTAATAATAATAATTAAACAACAGCAACAACAACAACAGCAACAACAACAAAATAGGCGTCTCAATGTCTGAGGAAAAGTGGGATTGTAAGTGCAGTATTTCTTCATGTGCAGTTCTTCTACTTCATATGAGTCCCCTTTGGATGAGAAGGCCTAGTGGAATGTGTGCTCCCCTCGGACTATGTGCGACGAGAACTCATAGCGGTCCTGGCTTCGGTAGCCACAGATGTTGCACTCTAGCGGGTCCCGGTAGCCGTGGCAGCCCATGTGGATGGTGTACATGACATGGTCCAGGAAAAGGATGCGACAGTGCTCACACTTGAAAGCCCTGATCTGCTCCCCTTCTCCGTTGATGACCTTGTAGATATCCTTTAAAGAGCCCTTAGAAGCTTTTGTGGCATCCAAAGCCTTGGCGTCCTCCTTCATATAAGCTGGGCTTGGCTTTCTCTTGGGATTTAAGGCAGAGTTTCCTTGGTAGGACTGGCGGTCTTCGTGGCTGCTGTCTGAGTCAGTAGAATCCAGACAGCTATTGCTGGGGGAGCCCTCTCTATCCTGGGTTCGACTCTTTGGTCTGATGAGGGAGATCGGGCCATCCATGTTGTTCTCATGACTGTCAGCTGTTTCCCTGCTAATGGGCCTTTCTATCCTGTTAGGATGATAGACCTGAGCGTAAGCTGAGCTGATGACCGGGGCCACCTCTGCAATTGTGCTTGGTGTGTGCTGCATCAGGGGGTGAAGTGCCTCAGCTCCAAGGTAGGTGATTGCATTGTTGATGGCTTGGTCCATCATGTGAGACTGCATCAGCTCAGCCTCCTTCTCATAGGTTAGGTTCATATCAAAGGGAATATCTGGATAGCCAAATCTCATGAGCTTTTCACCTAAGGGACAAGAGCAAATGAGTGAGAAAAATCAACATAATTACTCCAAGGGTTTCACCGTAAAAGGGGTGTGGAGGGACAGAAAATCCCTGACTTGGGGTGAAACTCATTCCAGAGTCCAAAGTTAGCCTCCCTCCTTCTACTTGTTTACTGACCTCCTACAATGTTTTTGTCCTGAGATGGGTAAAGCAGCAACCTCACCAACAGCTTTTTTTTTAATTCCAGGTGAAACATGCGGCTGCAGTGACCTTCAGACTGATACCAAACCTTCCACTGGGCCTGACTGTGCCCATGCTTCAAATTAGGAAATACATGTTAACTGGTAGAAAATGGGATTGAACCACCGAGGTCAGTGAAGCTCCACTGGCTTACACCATTAGACATACCCTCCCAAAATTAAGAGGCAGTACCACATGTCCCCCGCACTCTGAGGTGCCTCATACATACCTTACAACAGGGCTGCATAGCGAGAAACCTAAGCAACAGCTACAGAGGGCTGGTATAGTGTTACCTTTAGAGCCACAATATGTAAATCCTTCAACCAGCAGAAAAAATATAAAATAACTGCATGCAGCCACAGAATGGAGCAACTACCAGGAGCACTGGGGGCTGACCTACCATCTTGCATTCAGGCTAGAATATCTTTGCAATTCACCCCCTCAAAAAAAAAAAAAAAAAAAATCCTACCCCAATGTTTGGGACTGAGAAAAAAAGACACCTCCCTCCCCTGCCAGTATCTATTTAGGCAAGAAAAACAAAATAGAGAAACCGCATGTATAGCTTAGTTTCATTTGGTAAAGGCAAAAGCAGCTTTCATTGACACAGGGTAAGTATGTAATGATGATGAAGCTGGCCGATTCATCACTATGTAAATCCAAATTCACATCCTTGTCTACTTTTTAAATCAATGGCATTACAGATATGCGAAACCAGAACCACATGCTGGTATATTATGCTAGTCACAGGGCATATTACGTATCGCAGCTCTCCTTTGAAGTTAACAGATTTACCACTGCTTACAACAGGGCTCAGCTCAGCAGCACTGCTTTCCCAGTGATGGCTTTAGAGTGTCAGTAGAAGGAAATTTCATATAATAACTCTTCTTTTATATAGAAAAGGTTATATGTATAACTATATGTGTAAGATACAAGATATACATACTCATATGTGTTCACACACACAAATATTAGCTACTTGTTGTTTAACCCGATTTTACAAAGTCTGATAAATAATTTTGGTTGGTTTTCATTGCCTTTGTTACTTTTGACTGCCTCGGTACATAAAACCAGAGTTTTCTTCAATAGTATAAGCTAATAAATTCAAGGAGTTACTACATACAACTGGTTTGGCTATCCAAGAATTAAAGAACTCAAGAATCTTCTAATACCTTTTGCCAAAATTGCTTGGAACAAAATGTGTATAAACCACCATAAGAAAGAAACAGAACTGCAATCCCAAATCTCTTCCAAATAGCATTAGTACATTTCAACATAGCTATCACTCAGCATTTTATTTTTGACTATAATAATTCATTCCACTTAGTGCAGCTTATCTTAAAGTGGTGCATAAAGAGAGAAATAATTTTACATTACCCATGGAACAATCAGGTTATCCTTGGAGATGATGCATCACTTTTGGTTGGGAACTTAGCCCTGATTAGCAAGGTAATTAAATGCAAGTCTAAAGTGAAGCATGTGAATATTCGTATTCTCTTCAGCAGTACTGCTCACATGCTTCTGATTAGACACCATGTTCATGTACCTCACTACGTTTCCCTTCAGCTGGCTGTGTTACACTTACAGCTTACCAACTCTTCCTTTGTTACACATTAGGCATTTGAGGAAAAAAAGGAAGGAAAAAGCAAATGGTGCTACAACAACGGCCTTTGTAATCTAACATGACCTATGGATGATTCTTGCCATCAAATATTCTCTTTTCAGTGTTTCTGCCGTGGGCTGGTAGTCTTGCTGTCTGTGATGGCTGTCCTGCTGTTGATAGGATGGACAACCCTGTAACAGGAGGTGGCTGCAGCCTCACTTGAAATTGAGCAGCTTCTTCCCAGGTGGGGCCAAAGTGGGACTGGAGGACAGCTCCAGGAGACACATGGTGTCTTTGGCATGTGTCCTGGTTTCGGATGGGATAGAGTTAATTTTCTTCCTAG